TGTTTGTGATGGAATTGACATCGAAGTGGTGTTTTTCATTATTATCGGAAGTTCATGGAATCGATGAATTACATAATTAGTTTTAATGGTCAAACAAAAAAGTCAAAATTGACTGATCGTTTGGAACAGAAAGTGAAAGATACATGATTGGAACGAAGGTGTTGATCTGGGTATGTGTATCGCAACGAAAGTGAAAGATACAAAAGGACGAAGGTTGTAGTTACGTAGTTGAGTATCATGATTTTGGTTTCAGGATTGTGATGGTCGCTTTGGGTATATGAATGAAAGTGCGAATATCCCAATCTGAATTAATGAAAAATGAGGTCTATCACTATCAGAACTATTGGATATTGCGATGGTCGTTGATGCGAAGCTGTGAAGTTGATTGTAATGGTCTCGCAATCGATTCACAGTTGATTACAGTTGATTCGCAATTGATGAGTCTCGTAATCGGAACATTGGATTCGCATATGTCGCGCATATGAAGTCGTCTCGTAGATTGCTTTTGATCTCGCATCTGATCTTTGCTTAGCAGATTGTTAACGGTTCGTCGTTGTTGGGTTTAATAGCAAATGATTGATAGCGAAGCTTTGAAGGTTTGATTACGAAGGGTTGAAAATTTTGAGTGTGCTTCGCTATTGTTGCGTTCTTTTTGTAACGAAGGATTCAATTTTTTGGGAAGCTTGTGGTTCGCTATCGTGACTGGCTGCTGTATTTTTGCAAGTGGACATAATTAGGGAAGAACACTTAATGTTACACATTTGGTCCTCGAACTTCCAGCTAAATGGCAATTCTTACCCAGAAACGATAATCTTTGCAACTTTTGAAGATTACTTATCGGTCTTTCAAAGATTGTTATTTCTGCAAAAAAAAAAAATTCCAGCAACATGAACAATATTGTTATTTTTTTAAATCAATGGTGGTCCGGGAAGTCAATATTTCGAAAATTGGCATCTTTTTAATTTTCCGGTTTTGAAGCTTCATATTTTTTTTTGTCACATATCAAGGGGGCGTATTGCATTGAAAAAATCCAATTCGAGCACTTTCTCATTCCCTTTTGGAGGTTTTATAATCATATTTGATTATAAAAAGAGGGAGAGATTTCGATATCGGTATTCAAAAGTTTTTGGATATTCATTTTCGTAGCGAATGATCTTTTATAATTAAAGACCGATGTAACTTTGAGGGGGAGTTGGTATTGATTGTGAAGTGATTCAGATTTGATATTATGAAGTGAGTTTTTATTTAGGGTTTGGACTTATTGAAGATTTTTGGGATATGCTTTTATGCTCAGGGATGGGTAATTATCCTTGGATTTATAGATACTCAAGGACTTAAGATTTCCTCACTACAAATAATATGCCACTATATCTTGGTTTTTAGTGACACTTATTATATGCCACTAAAAAATTAATACATTTAATGGCACTTAATCTTTTGTGTCACTAAGTTTCATAGTTATTAGTGGCATAATGACTTGATATACCACTAATTTTTTTTTATTAAAAATACAGTATAGATAATTCTTATAATAACTAAAAAATTTAATTATAATATTAACAATTTATTTTATATTTCTCATTTAAAACTGATATTACATATTTATGGAAATTTATTATAATTATTAATTGATTTGTGAGTTTTTACAAAAAAAGAAAATCGGTAACCCATGACATTAGTAACCCAATAACCCAACTTGACATTTTTATGTATTAATCCTCTTCTTTCTCTTTTTTTCCCCCAAAACGAAATCAATTGTGTTTGTGATTTCTAGCTATTGATCCAACCCCATGTAACCCAATAACCCAACTTGACATTTTTATGCATTAACCTCCTTCTTTCTTTCTTTTTCCCCAAAAAGAAATCAATTGTGTTTGTGATTTTTAGCTATTAATCCAATAAACAGTTTATTTCGAATTAAACAACAAGACTAAATTGGGGCATACATTTATTATTATGTTTATAATGATCTCAAGCTATTGATCCGAGATAAGACCATTAGGTTAATATTTTTAAAGTTTGATTTTGTTGTTTTATTATTTTGAAAACGAAAATTGATTTTTACTTAGAATTGATTTATAATATTTCCATTAATTTATCTATTTTATTGTTTAAAAAAGGGATTCTAACGCACAACAACCAAATAATTTTGGTTAGATAACGATTATCATCCATTACGTTATTTGAAGATGCGGAAGTCAAAAAAATACGTGTGTTCAACCAAATCACACACAAAAGATATCAGAAGCCACTCCAACTCTTCCACTCCTGACGATGATCTGAACGCACCATCACCACCTTCTCTTTGTCGACGTCGGACCATCACGCTGCCGTCAGCCTGTGCGCCGTTGCTTCCGCGATCGCCACCGCTTCCTCGATCGCCTCCGCTTCCTCGATCGCCGCCGCTGCATCTTCAATCTCACGGCTAGGTATTTTTGCTGCTCAAATAACGTATTTACAAATTTCATTTGTTGGTAAAATTGAAGTTGTATACTGTTTGATTTGTTGCAAAATCATTGCTCAAACTGCTAGAGTTTTAAAAAACCTGCTCATCTAAAGATAAATCAATGTTACGAATTTAATTTGCAATATTTACCTCAAATAGTTTCAGATGTTTTGGCTGATCTTCCTTCTTCCTTAAGTTATGCTCTAATTGAGAAACCTCTTTCCGTAAGTTGACTTTTTCTAACTCAATTCCCAATATTCTTTCTTGCAACTCATTGTAATCACCTCTTAGCATTTTAAGTTCTGATTGCAAAGTTCTAATCATAACTTTCTTTTCACACATCAGACTTGTCCAATTTGTTGATTCCTTCTGTAGTTTTTCTGTTTCCATCTTTAATGAACCAAATTCTGTCACCATTACTTCTCTTTCTCCGACCTTCTCAAGCTCTAATGACATTTCCTTAATTTGATCACAAAGCTTCTGTACTTCTTTCTTTTGTGTACTTTTCATCAACCAGAGCTCTACATTTGAGTTCTTAACTGCTTCTTGCATTTCTCTCATCTGTTGTTTCAAAATTTGACTTTCTAACCTTGCGTTTCTCAAATCCTCATCTACTTCTAATTTAGATTTCATCAAATCTTCCACATCATCTTCAAAATCACGCCCTTGTTTCTCCAATTCTTTCACCAATCCCTTAACATGCGTTTCATATTCACTAATCATATCAAAAGATTGTGAAATTTCCAATGCCTGATTCATAATATTTTCCTCTAATCTCTTCACCTGGATTCCATATTGTTTAACCATGGTTAATGAATTTGAGAATTCATTCTCCACATTCTCTAATTTCAAAGACATATCTTCGTTCTCTTGTAATAAAAACTTGTAATTGAGGGTAATATCGTCAATGTGAATCTTCAACTCCTCTTTCTCCCTCTTTTCAACCTCTAGTTCACCATACAACTCCTTCATTGTAGCAATAACTTTTTTCTTTTCCTCTTCAAGTGCTTCTTCTCCTCCTTAAGTTCAGTTACTTTCTTCAAGAGCTCTTGTCCTCTTTTATTCTCTTTAAGTATTTGCTTACGAAGAGACTCCAACTCCAAATCTGACATTTCCACTTGCCTTTCCAACCTTAAAACATTACTTTTCAAAACTTCAACTGCATTTCTTAATGCTTCAGCATAAAGCCTCTGATCCTCATTGTTTTGAATTTGATTGTTGTTGTGCTCTAGGCTGTTTATTAAATCAGTCATACTTCTATCTGAAAGTGAACCCATTGACCAATCAGTGCTTGATCTTTGCTTTTGATGCTTTTTAATCTTCTTATTCATAGGTTTTGAGTTCCTTGAAACAGTTGTATCCTGATTAACATTATACAAACAACTCATAAGAAAAATCCAGAATTTATTATCTTTATTAGCATATACATATATTATATTATTATATAATGTAATTAATCTTACTTCAGCAAAATCAAGGATATTCTCGTTTTCACTACTATCACTTGATTGATTCTCCAATCTGTGTGATTCAGACCTGTTTTCACTACTATCACTTAATTGATTCTTCAATCTGTGTGATTCAGACCCCAGAGACTCATTTTCTTCAGACTCCTTGAAACTACCCCCAAAAATCGATGAATATTATTACTTTGATTCATGAAATGATAAAGAATTATTGATTATTAATTTTAATTACCTCTGTTCATCTGTTCGTTGCATCTATTGGATGAACACCTGTCCCATTTCACCATTTCACAAGTATTAGTAAATAAAATATTAACAAATTTGGTAAATTAAAGTTGCCCATTATGATTTTGACATATAAGTTTTTGAGAAAAGAATCTAAAGACAATAAGAACAAGCAAATTCTATACATATCGGACCATTATTAGTTCCATTTGCATCTTCCTTACATGGGTACGTTTCTATTCTTTATGGAATAAATTTAGATCTCTGACATTTTTGAACATACAGAGGTTATATATATATATACATACACACATATTACATATATACGCACAATTCACAAATCACAAACGCCCATATCTATGAACACATACGTCCACATTAATATACTTATGGTGTTTCCTTGTTTGTATATTGTTGATCAGATTCGTCTCATGCATTCTCCACTATCAATCGAGATGCCAATTTCATTGATCATACCAGTGAGCTTGGATGGAAAGAGTAAACATGTTTCTTTCAAATTCAAACCCCATTTTTCTATACTTTTTTTAATCCAAAAACTTAAATTAATCTCAACTTTATATATTGATTTTAGGGATCAAAAAGTCTGACCAATCGTAGTCGATCCAGGCCTTTAGTTAGAAAGAACACAAATCTTTCGTGCCACCGAAAAACAACCATTACCTAATGCTTTCAAATTTTTCACAGGCAAGTGTCCATTTTGAATTGAAAAAAATGAAATTATATTATAATAAGTAAATCAGTGAAAGTATGTTGTTATTTCAGGATCTCCATGGGTGATTTTGAGCCGTTCGTTTCTTGAATATTGTATATTCGCATGAGATAATCTCCCTCGGACTCTCTTAATGTATGTTAACAATGTGGTTTTGGCTCAAGAAGTCTACTTTCATACAGTGGTCTGCAACTCACCTGATTACAAAAATACAACAATCAATGCGGATTTAAGGTACATGGTGTGGGACAATCCTCCTAAAATGGAGCCATTGTTTCTTAACAAGTTGTATTACAATGTAATGGTGGAAAGTGGTGCGGCTTTTTCAAGACAGTTTGGGAAAAACAATGCGGTTCTTGACATGGTTGATAGGAAGATCTTGAAACGTGGTGGTGGGAGGGCGGCACCCGGGGCGTGGTGCACCGCTAGGAAGAGCTGGTTTGTGGATCCGTGTTCACAACGGAATGCTGTTAATGTTTTGAAAAAGTCGCTCAAGTTATGGTAATGATTTCCCTAGACATTATATATACATGTTTTTAATCATATCAAGTCATATACTCTTTGTTTCGTTTTAAACCTTGTTATTTGTCCCACTTTCAAAGTATTAGAAACGTACTTTTAAAGTAGGTTGCTATACTATGATAGTATAGCAACCACTTTCAAAGTATGTTGCTATTAATTTGAAAGTGGGACAAAAACAGTGGGTGAGAAACACTTGTCATGCTTTTTGTATGTTGTTATTATGTAGACTTCCCTACAATCTATTGCAAGCGACTCCTCAAATGCCCAAGGATCAAGTACCCTAGGATCTGTAGATGATTTTTCAAATGATGACTACTCTAAAGTTAAAGGTCCTAAAAAAAGAGGGTATATCAGATGTGTTGGAAGGATGTCTACCGTAAAAGAGAAGGTTGTTTCTTGTTCTAATGATCCGAGTGTCGAACAACTAAAAACTATGGTGAACGTTATGGCGAATATCATCCAAAAACATATCCCAAATGCAAACTTGTCTGCAGTTCTTAGCAATATGAACATACAGGTATATATGTCATCTATAATTGCATTGTTCCTTTTCAATTACCCTATGAAAAAAAAAACATTCATTAAAATTAGTCCATTATCATATTTCCAATTGGACTCAAGAATGACCACTTTTTCCCTTCTGAATAATCTTCTTGGTGCATATATGCTTCTTCTTAAATGCATTCTTCTTGTTCATTTGTACAAGACTAGTAGAAGATATCGAGGGTTGGACATTAATTGTATATGTTTTCATTAATTTGTTTCAGATGCCAGACAACACTTCTACAGTTCCACGCAACTCTAATTCAGTTAACCAGAGAGCATCTTCTAAAAGTCATCATAACAATGGTAATCATTTTTATGAGCTTTTGTCTTTCCTTTGTTCTTATAAATATAATTTATTTGTGTTGAGTGTTATATTATTTATTTTTTAAACTAAGCCTTATTTCACTGGATTCTGGATTATCTTTGTTTGTTTTTGGACAGGGAATTGCTAGCATTGATTCTAGAGTATGAGATAACACAATTTATTCAACCTAGCATGTCTTTGTTTTTTTATTTTATTTTATTTTTATATGCATGTGTTAACTTTTGTTCATTACTTTATGTTTAGCATGTACTTAGACATATTTGATATTTACCTAGATATTCGATTCAAAAAGTTAAAAAAATATTGATGAAAAATAATGAAATTTTGATTATTTTCAATGTGCTACAATTTAATTATTTATTTTATTTTATATTATAAATGAAACTGTATTGTGGCGAATAAATTGTCATTAAAATCTTAAAATATGTATCTAAAAGTAGCATGAATTTTTTTAAATCACATGAGCTTTTAATGGCACAAAATATATGCCACAAAAAATTTCTTCTATTGTGACACATAAAAAAATGTCACTATTTTTTATTGTGGTAAATAAAAAAGTGCCACTAAAATCTTAAAATGTGTAACTAAAAGTGACATAAATTACTGAATCAAATCAGATTTAGTGGCACAAAATATGTGCCACAAAAGAAATTTGTTTTATTGTGACAAATAAAAAAGTGCCACTGAAAGCCTAAAAACTATAGCAGCAAAAACAAAAAGTGCCACTAAAAGGTTTTAGTGGGAGCGTTTATAGTGGCATTTATTAAGTGTGCCGCTGATTCTTTGAGAAGCCTTTATTGACATTTTTTTGGGCTTTTAGTGGCACTTTTTGTATGCCACTAAATGACATATTTTTTGTAGTGCCTCTTGTACTACCTAGAACCCGAATTAGAAGGCTATAGAAGATTTGAAGATTTGATGATTACTTCTACATTCTTGTCATGCTTGAGGTCTTAATTAGCACAATTTCCCTTTTGGAACTAGAAGTCGGGTTATCCAATCCAAGCTTAGAGGGGGAGAATGTTGGGGTACAAATCTCTCTACGGGATGGTGATTTAGAAGGCTTCTCCCTATTCGATATGGAAGGCTTCTCATGTAGAATGCCTTATGGGTTGAGTTAGCCTATAAATACTAGTTTAGTATTCATTTTAGGTTGAGAGAAATCCCATATTTTGTATAGATGAATACCTTATTCTAGAGAGAGAGAGAGAGAGAGAGAGAGAGAGAGAGAGAGAGAGAGATTATTGTAGTCAAGCAAAAACATGCTTTTACCAATTTTGTACTACTCCGTTATCTATACTATTATGCTTAGACATTAATTGGTGTCCTTTCCATTATGCATGTTCTTAATTCCGTAATTGTCATTACCATGGGATCCTACATAATGGGCTTGGCCCATTAGTGTTTTAGGTCTGACCCCTTCAGTATAAATAGGGATGCATGTTAAGTTATTTGAAGTGTCTTGTATTTTAGAGTGATAGGAAAATATATGCTGAATTTGTACTTGTAACATTTGTTTGAGAGCTCATAAATAAAGAATACTCCCCTCCTGCCCGTGGAAGTAGGTCACCTTAACCGAACCACATAGATACTGCGTCTTGTATGCTTTTGGTTTTGCTTGTTTTCCGCTTTACTTCATAACAAGTTGTATCAATGATATTGTTGGTGTTCTGTTGATTGAAGATGGCATCTCACAAATTTGATTTGGAGAATTCAATGGTTCAAATGATTTCAAGTTGTGTTGGGTCAAAAATATGGTTTATACTTTACTTTTCTAGGAAAATGTATTTTTGTGTCTTGGACCGTAAACAACTTGGTGTTTACGGTCGTATACTTGTTTACGGTTGTGTTTACGACCGTGAATAGGTTTACGGCCGTAGACTTATTCACGGCCCATGTCTACTATATATAGGGTGAGGAGTGCATATTGTAAAGCAAGTGTAGGAGTGAAAGGCTAGAGAGGAGGAGATCATATTGTAGAGAGAGAAACTAGAGAGAAGATTAGTGTGTAAGAGAATCTATGTGTATGGAGCATCATTCTATTCATTGAATACATCATACATTCAAGTTATTCTTCTTCTCATTCTCTTCTATTTTGATCTGACATCATCCGTTTGATTGGGATTCCGCACCATCAAACGGATCTGATTGATACACAAGTAGATCAGGGACTTACAATTGGTATCAGAGCTTGGATTGTATCAATCAAATTTGTCAGATCTGGAGCTTAGTTGATCTTATTTTGGAAGGATTCTTGCGTTTTTGGATAAATCTTGGCAAAATAAGGGGGGTTTGTTCTTCGCGTTTTTGATAAAAACGAGTTCTGGATCGAGTTTTAGAGCAAAAAGGGTGAAAAACGTTGTTTTTCTTCGCATCTGAAGCAGGGTTTACGGCCTCGGAGTTCACGGCCGGAGTTTGCGGTCCGAAGTCACGTGTACGGCCTCAGAGTTTACGGTTCGAGATTACGGCCCTCGGTTTGCGGTCCTCGGTTTGCGGCCAGCGACGCACGTGTACGGCTCGGTTTGCGGCCAGCCTCGCACGTGTACGGCTCGAAGTTTCCGGTTGGCTTCGTTCTCGGAATCGCACCTCGCACCTCGCTCGTTCAGCAGTCTCGTTCGGCAAGCTTCGCAGCAGTCTTCGCAAGCAGCATCCTCGCATCGCGCATCTGAAAAAAAGGAGGAAACGCATTGGAGGTGCCGGGGATCGAACCCGGGTCTCCTGCATCTTTAAGTCAGCGCCTTACCACTTGATCTACATGGCCACACGTTCCTTTCCTTTCGATTTTAATTCATAAAGCGTCGTTTCTCGGTTCCAAATTTCGCAAAATTGACACTTTTAACCCAAAAATCAATTTCCTTTATTTTTAAATTACTTTTTCAACCAAAAATTTTAGATTTTAATTTTTGACTTTTAATTTGGACTTTTTACTTAAAATTTTGACTTTGACTTTCAAGTTGGACCTTGGACTTTAAACTTTGACTTTCTCGTTTAACCTTCAAAATTTCAAATTTAGCTTTTCGGTTTGACTTTTTAGTTTGACTTTTTAAGTTTGACTTCTCAAGTTTGACTTTTTAAATTTGATTTTTTTAAGGTTGACTTTTGAGTTTTCAAGTTAAAGGGCATTTTCGATAAATAATGAGTTCTTCAAAAATCAATATCAATGAAATTTCCTTAGAAAATTTACGTGAACACTATGAATTATTACGTAAAGAGAATGAGGACATAATATATGAGAGGTACACTATTAGGAAAGAACAAAAACCATTAAAAGCACAACTAGAAGCCAAAATCAAGGATTTCTGAAAACTTCAGGAAGAGTACAGCAATAAATGTGCTCACTATAGATATGTGACAGAACAACTTGCTGCTGTAACTGCCGAACTTGATGCATTGAAGGCCAAATTTGAAAATGCATATTTTAATTTTAGAAAATTTGATGTGTCGAGTGAAGTAGTTGCAACAATGATGGAAAAAAATTTGAGATTTAAAAATAATCAGTCAAAGGGTTTAGGGTATGATAAAGTGCCTCCTCCTTTTAATCATACCTATTCTAATAACCCTTTGACAAAAGAGGAAATGGACAGAGAGCCACATCTTAAATATGGATTTGTGTCAGGAGGTAGTATTAATGTTGAAAATACTAATGTTTCTACTTCCCATGCAGATCAATCTCTAAGTCATTGCAAGCAAGCAGTTGAAGAGTGTGTGTCTGACAATAAAATTGTGTCAAAGTCTGATGACTTAAATTTTTTCGATGTATTTGATGATATCTTTGATAATTCTGCCATGGTTGTGCCAGAAAGTGTTGAGCTGAACGATTCTAATGCTTCTACTTCTTGTGTAGGTAAAGTAACGAAAGATGAGAACAAGGAGAAAAGTATTGAACAAACCAATGTCTCCTTGAACTCTGAATTTGTTGCTTCGAATTCAGTTGCTTCTGATCAACCTGCTGTTGAGAAGTACAAGCCTCCAAACCAAGTGAAACAGCCGACTTGCTGCAAGTGTGCTTGTGGTAACAATCAGAGACGAGGCAAGGATACGCCACCAGGGGCAGGAAGAAACAACTTTCCAGTGAAGAAAAAGACTTGCTTTCACTGTGGAACACCTAGACACATTGCCAGAAATTGTCCAAATCGCGCATACGTTCCCTACTATGCACAAGGGTGGCAGAACGCGCCAAGAGGGAGATTTTCCAAAAGAAACCCCTCAAGGTCATGTTCAGACAATGGCGACTGGAACGCGCAAAAGGCCAAGAAATTAACTTCCAAGGGAAAGAAGGGAATGCCGACCAAGAAGTCCAATCCAAGAGATGCTCCAACGAAACCAAGACCGGTTAGGTCAAAGTCATCTCGACGACCGGTTTCAAGTTCAAAAGCAAGCGATAAGGCACCCAAAAAATCGAAAAGGAAATGGGTTAAACCCGACTACAGATGGATTCCGAAGGTTCACTCTCCCAAATCTCCTAATGCTTCTAACGTTGCTACATCTTCTGTTTATGATAAGCAGGATATGTCATGGGAGAGAGTTCCTTGCGTAGATGAAAAAGGTCAACCCAGTTTCAAAATGGACTGGGTTCCAAAGACAAACTGATCCCGCTCTGTGCTGGAGCAGCTATGGAGGCATATCATCAGACTTCGGTTTGTTGATAGTGGCTGTTCCAGGCACATGATAGGAGGCATCTCTCAACTGTGCAACACTCAGAACTTTGTTTGAGAGTATGTGTCCTTTGCGGGAAAGGAAGAAAGGAAAGGATCACACATGGGGTTTGTGCTTAACGATGTGAAGAATTTTCGGATCTGTTCTGAGATTATGCGTGCTGTTCTCAAACCTTCTGAATGCAAATTCAATCGGTGACTTACGGTTTGCGCTTTCTTCTCTATAGTCCTGAGTTTATCTTAAACTGATTCGTTTTGAAGACAATCTTTTAATTTCCTTATATGTCTTTCTTTAGCAGGTTATTTTGGGAAGTGATATGAAGTATAGCGCTAAAGGGCAATTTATGATGTGTGTAATGCACTAAAGCCGAATTGTCTAGACTCTGTATTCAATGTGCTGGTAGGCACAAAGGATTCAAAAGGACTAGACATTGATTGACCATGAAAGGACTAGACAATGTAGACTTAGATAGTTTCATTTGGACTGACCATACGACGCTCGGGTAGATTGAGCAGTGAGATAAACATGGGAGCCTGCGATATACACTAAAAGTTAATTATCTAGAACTGGTGCTGAACATTTCCTTGATGTATGGACTCATGTCCTTAATTCCGGTATTGATATGGCAACTGGGGGGTTCTGATAAAGTAGGTCTGTAGGAAATTATTTTCTTGCTTTCT